TAATGGTCACATTACTGACGGCAGAAATAGGTAGGTGACAGTACTTCCCAGGGCGAACTCTTTTAGAACTCCGATAGAAGACTGCTACCTACTGGAGGTCGACTACCATTATAAACTTAAACTCAAAACATGTTATAATTTCATAGGAAAGTAAATTACACTTGAAATTGTCACAATATGCTCATTTCGTAAGGCAGATTCCCCTGAGAAGAATGAGCAAGAAACTCTAGGGGTTGATCTTTGTAAATATATACATTTGAATACATTTATCATTTTACAATATTTATTTCAAACGTAAATCGATCGAGCCTACCTGCAGGTGGGAGGCTTAATGGGTCACTACCACGCATTTTTGTCAACCAAGTACTCAGAAGCTGTTTATGAACCTTAAGTATAAAGTTTTTGTTTCACTATTCATTTTTGTTGTTGTTGTTTATTAACTCATAAGCACACTATGTCACGTCATGTTATAATTTATGTTTCTGTGATATCCTGTAATTGGCATCATATACTGGTCATGTAAAGTAGATTTTTAAGCTCTAATTGTATGCTGTTGGATGTCCTTCAATAAATAAATAAATAAATAAATAAACTATAGTTTTAAACCTCGTAAATGGCGAAATTTGAATATCAATCAAGGAATCTTATTATAGAAGTATATATATTGCTCTTAAATGAGATTGTGACTCTGTGAAAACGACTGCCAAGATCAGCCAGTTTATTTTTATTCCTCGTATTAATTAAAATTAAAAAAATACAATTCTTCTTAATCGACTTCAAAAAAAGGAGGGGTTCTCATTCGACTGTATGTTTTTTTTTGTATGTATGTTACGCGATAACTCCGGTATTTGTGAATTTTTCATTTAATTTTGAAGAAAATCATCCACCTCTAAGGGGCTGTTCACGCATGAAGATTCATTTTTATAATAGCGCCTAAATTTTATTATAACCAGCAATTATTGTAATGACTGATTTTGCTATTCTCCAATTCAAGACGTTTTTCTCTCTCAGGGTCGTATTCTAGAACTCTACTCAATGCTCAAGTCAGGGCTTGAGTATGATTCAAAGCACTAGAAATCATACTCAAGTCCTTGCCATTAGGGTCGTATTTCCAGTGCTAGAAATCATATTCAAGTCTGCTCAAATCCTAACTTGAGCATTGAGTAGAGTTCTGAAATACGACCCTAAATATACTTTGAGTAGTGAGAACCGATTTTTATTATCTCCTGGGTCAAGTCCCGTATAGTGGCGAACTAGGGGATGAATCCGAGTTTGCGGACTTTCCGGTAACCCATTTCAATAAAACTTGGTAATTATATGTAATTCCATATACTTTTGAGGTCGGTTTTTTAACATAAAATAATAACTATTAACATATCCCGCTGGTGTTATAATAGTGTTGTAACTCAAAATATTTGAAATTCAAGATTACAACCATTGTTGAACGTAAAATTTTATTCTCTACACGTCAATAAAACCGTCATTAGTTATTGTAAGAAACAACTGAAATATATCTACTTAACTCAAAATGAGCGATTCGTTCTGTGTACCGTCTAGGCTCTCGGGTTTCTCTCAGAGAAAAGTTTAAGGAGACTGATATCATGACTGTGGCACACATTGCATTTGCTCAAATATTTTATATGCCCGTAAAAATATACATAATTTCAATAAGAAAGCAGATATCCATAATATTAACCTTAGAGCTAAGTCCAAACTCATGGTAATACGATTTCGTTTAACCAAGGTAAACAACTCTTTTATGGGGAACTGTATACGTTTTTACAATAAGATTCCGAAGCATACATATATTAAGTTTATCATTTCTTAAGTTTAAAAAGTACATTAAAAATATTTTGATCGAAAAATCATTTTACAAAATTGAAGACTACTAGATAAAAATGTATATTTAAACACGACACGGCTCGAGAATCCACACAAATTTGATTCAAAGTGTATTCCATAGCATTTAAGTTTATTTGAAAAGAGCAATCCGTAGAGTTTCTTGTTCGTTCTTCTCAGGGAGGTCAGCGTAGTGAACGAGCAGTAGCTTAAATGTGACATTTTCAAGGGTAAATTTATTTTACCTATGGAATAAATAATCTTTGACTTTGACTTTGAGACACACTTTATGTGAGCTAGTTCTGGCCAAAATAGTTCTTATTCAAAAATATGAAATCTAGGAAATTGTTTGTAACAAACTATAAACCTATACATACATTTTAATTACATTTCACGGGAATCACTTCCCGTGAATAATTCGTTAATTAATTAATTCGTTTTTCATCGATTCAGAGAAAATACACTTTTTGTGTTAATACAATATTGTATTAACTGTGCGATGTAGGCATTTGAGCCCACGAAATTGCGGCTTGAAAGAGTTCTATGGTCCTCATGTTGAACCACTCTACAAGATTTTGGAGCCACATGGTTTCTCTACGACCACGACTACAACTGCCGCTCTGGATTAAAACCTTGAAGAATTAATAGCAGACAGAGATTTTTTTACTTCACACGATGTGCCCAAAGTCCTACAGTTTCCTCCGTTTTACGGTTTTCCAGGAGCTCCAAGCTTTATACTTCCTCTGCAATACTTAAATTTACATTACGCGAAATTCTCATTTCCTGCAAAGCCTATTTTAACACTTAGAGCTAAACCGTATTTCAATTTCCACAAAATACTGATTGCAAAGTCATAAATTATGATTTCTGCTTCAAAACCGTACAATATCCTAGGATCGCTTGCCGTAAAAACGTCCACATGAATTACGGTGTTATGCTATTTCATTCCACACTATTAATCATTGCGGGAGAGGGAATTAATAACATGCAGGACAATGTGACACGTCGAATGGAACACGCTGCGTCATTATAATGCCGGGAACGGGACGCGCAAACAATATGGCCGACCTTTAAAACATTTTTTGAAGAAAACACCATAGTAACGTAATTTAGCATCACAACCATTGGCCTGTGATCACAACCGATGATTATGCCGTAGTATAAATGAATGAATGGTCTGTGATCAATCTGTATCTAAAATATTGCAGCTGTGTATGCCAATTACATTGCTATGTTTTTTTGAGGATAATTTTATTTTTTGGTTGTAAATGCTGACACTACGCCAATTTAATTTTTGATCTTGTTCTGTTTTTATTTCTTTTTTTTTCACAAACATTTTTATTTTATTTTTCGAATTTTGTTTTTTGTTTCTTTGTTTTTCACAAAATTCGAAGAGCAATAAATATGAGTAAATAAATATGACTGTTTACAAAAATAACAAAAAATAACCAAAAAATAAAATTGGCGTGTTCATTGGAGTTGTCGATTGTAAATATGTTTACGCAACCTGTAGGTACAACTAAAATAACAACATGTAACAACTCTACACTCCGAGCGAAGTGTAGGCATTTATACGCCGAACAGGCGGGACTTACTTACAGTGGCGGATTTGCAGTCTTGGCTGAACTGAGCCCCAGGCCATGTAGTCGGTACCAGCCACCCCTTTCTCAGCACTCATCATATACTGGTAGACTACATAATGAATTCACTTTATTGCCAACTTTTATCGAAATCAATTCAGAAATTTTTGATTTTACATGCATGATGGCATCATTTTTTCCGACATCTTCAACATTTATCACCATATTTCAGCCAAATTACACAAAACCTAAATAAATTATACATTTAAACCTTCCTCATGAATCACTCTGTCTATTGGTGGAAACCGTATGAAAATCTGTTCAGTAGTTTTTGAGTTTATCGCGATCAGACTGACAGACAGACGAGGTAGTGATAATATGTAATGATGTAATGATTATACATTACATTATAGCTATGTAACATATCTATATTTTATACATACAAAAGTGACTTAGGAAGATTACTGTTATACGATGCGGTGCAGTGCGGCCCGCCATAATGTGCGTGAGTCTTTAGAATATTTAGGTACTCTTGAGTTATTTCTTGTTGTTATAATAACAGCGAATTTTTTGTCACGATTGGGCGCCCTAGGCCCGGGCCTACTGGGCCTTAGGGCAAATCCACCACTGCTTACTTCAGTTCAAAGATACTTTATTCTCAATAAGTCAATTGTCACTTACATGAGAACTTAAAAACTAAAGTAATCAGTAATATTCCAGTCCAAGCCGCGGTGCAAACTATACAATGAAATACTATCATTAGACAACTGTTTACAAATTTACATTATTATTACACAAATTAAATCTTTCTTCTTTTTGCTATATTTAAGTACTTTTGCGAATCTATTATATAACACACAGCTATCACACAGCATTAACACAAAGAACACATACGTAATTATTTAAGTAGTTTATTTTAGTTTATTTTATTTTGCGACACACACGTCCGTCACTCATCTCAGCTCAGGGCTCATTGAAAACCAGCGCCACAGTCAATTGCAGCTGTGGCATAAGCTGAATAAAGTCCTTTTGCATACGCCACAACCGCACACATGACAATACAACATTTGTAGTTGTTATATTTAGTATTGTTCTGTTTTGCTCTTTGTTTGTTATTGTCTTATTTTATTTTAATTTTGTTAATTACGTTTTTTTGTTTTGTTTTGCTTGTATAAGTGGTATCAATATTTTTTTTTTTGTATCTATGTGTTGTGGCGTTGCAATAAATGTCTATTCTATTCTATTTCAGTAGTGAATGATAGTTAATAATATGTTTATACAATTTTGATTTAAATAAACTAAATGACTCCGCATCCTTTACATTTGACGGCAGTTTGTTAAAGATTTGCACTCCTTCAAAACCTGTCGATCTCTTGCCATAGTTAGTTCCGATCATCGGCAGGATTCGATTATTGGTCTTTTTTACGAATGTAAGCTCACATACTTACTCTTACTAAACTACTATGAACTATGATTTTTCAATTGGATTACAAAAAGAAAACAGGTTGCCCGAAAAAACATATATATATTTATTAAAATAAATATAATACAAAGGTTACAAAATCCACATCATTTGTAACGACGCCCTTTGGTAAAACACAGTCTTTATACTTAATCGGTTAAATGTGAGATTAAGTACCTACAGAACATAGCACAGTTCGATTCATTATGTTGTAGGCTTTTGAAGAGACTCCTTCAGCCTGTTGTTCTCGTCCACCAACGCTTGAACCCTTTGTTCGTATTTCTCGCGGAGTTCCTGCAAAATTAAACAATGAAAGAAATCCGGAAAACCTTTCTTTTCGGAACTTTTATATGAAACATTTTTGTATTACCGAAAAGGTCTTCATTCATTTTCATAATAACAGAGTGTTAAAGCTTATATTTTTCTAACACGCCACATCGCATCGTTTTTGGGAAAACGACAAAATAAATTGCAAAACAAATACAGAAGGCCGCATATAAAAAAATGGCTCCCTTTATAATCCCTTTAGAATGTACTATTACACAGTAGAGTCCTTGTGAAAGAGTTCGTGGTTTTGAAGGGTAAGGGTGCTAGTGAAATGGCATAAGGGACTTATCAACTTATGTCTTTTACTGTCATGGATAAGCATGTCGCTTACCGCCAGTTGCACGCTTGTTCGTCCCGTAGCTTGATAACATAAAAAAATGGGCCCAGCCTACAATGATTTAATAACATCTGAATCAGAGGATGCCATTGATGTTTTGACAATAATCTAAAGAGACGTCACGGTCGCGGCTTCTCATTACCATAGTCAAATTTATCTGCCTTATACCCACAAGTTTTAAGAGGCAATATAGTCTGTGACCCAAGCCCATCCTTTTTTTAATGAAAATCCTTTCACACCGTTGGTTCCACTAGTGGGTTCTGCTTTTAATGAAAAACCCTTTCGGACTATTGCCTCCACTAGTGAGTCTAGTAGGATTTTGAATCACCGATACACAATGTGTAGCATTTAATCTTCATAAATGCACTTAGCGTGATCCACGTGTCACGTAAACTTAAACAGAAGAAAGCTATATCAAGGGCTAACCTTAAACAAGTTGAGTTGTGTCTCGTACTCCCTCCTAAGGTCAACGTTGATGTCGGTGCTGGTCTGTGCACGCTGCAGTATGAGCGTGAACCTCTCCTTCTCCGCCTTGAATCGCGCCTCCATCGCCTGCAACCGATCCTGGAAAATATAATATAAAGTAAATAATCGAAAGAACTTTTTCTAAGTGTTCGATCTTTGTATTAATAATTTTAACAAACTAGTGAAGTAATTTCACACAAAATAATTTAATATCAATTTAATAAAAAATTAAATACAATGAATAGCGACATCTCTAGCCGGGTCTGGTAGCTGTAAAGGTGTTTAACTGGGTGACGAAATACTTTCATAGATTTCAGACGGCGCTACAGCTAAAAAGTCGTTGAAAAAAACAAATACAACGATACGACGACAAGCACATAGAAAAATTCGTAAGGTCCGCTGGTTCGTTCCGTGGCTTAGTTGGCATAGCGTCTGACACGGTTTGCTAGAAGATGTCGTTTCGAATCCGGCCGGATCAAAGGAGATCGATCTTTGTTTTATTAATTATAAAGTAAATAACTTATTCTTCTTCTTAATATTAAAGAAGAACAATGACATCAAAGGCTGCAGCAAAGAGGCTCACTTCTGCACAGATGTTAGTATTTCAAAGGCCCTGATCAAAACATTTTATTAACAAAATTCGCAAACATTATTATTATTAATTAACATTATTATTAATTTTAATTCACTGTGTACAAATACCAACTATATTGGTTTTCTTACTACGTATAACGGACGATCATCAACAGCCTATCGTAGTCCACTGCTGGACATAGAGGTCTATACCTCTCTCAATGCGCGCCATTTCGCTTGGTCCTCAGCTCGTTGCATCCATCTGCTACCAGCAGCCCTTCGCAGATCGTCACTCCATCTGGCCATAGGGCGTCCTACACTACGTTTGCTGAACCGTGGTCTCCACACTCAAGAATTCGCTTCCCCCATCGGTTATCATAATGGGTAATGGTTAATTTCTGACGATATTACAATAATTACACCACTACAATTTTATGTACAAACAATCACACAGCTTAAGGTAGTTTTTAAGGCCAGCAGCAAAATTCTGGTACATTCTTTTCCGTCAGGAATTTTTAGAAAATTTAATATTCTAGTCGAAAACTAAAAAAAAAATACACAACTTCTAGAATAATGACGCAATCGAAGAAGAAACACAAAAATGGCTCGATGCAAATCAACACCAAATTTCAATTGATTTAGTGGAACGGTTTTCAAAGTAGAGTGGTTTTGGTGACTATAGAAGAATACATTTTGTAAGAAGTATAAACTTATTTTTGGACGAAACGTTGTTTTTCTGTTAGGACGATGTTTTAAAATACTTAAGTTACTAAGTGTTGATTTGTAAACGAGTGGTTAAAAATGTGCCTTTATTATGCTTTATACTAAAATAATTACAACAGATTTTAATTGGTCACCCCTGACCTTAACCTATATGTTCCTCTTGCCCCAAAATAAACTTTTCAATTATTTTTTTATAACTATACGTTATTTCAATGGTTTTAAGATCAAATTCGATTGAAATTGTTTCATTTATATAAAATACGATGACAGTTCCTCTTACCCCATTTTTTGGGGGAAGAGAAACGTTAGCACAATCTTTTTTTATCAGATACATCGTAACGATTATGAAAACATGGAAATCTGATAAACCAGGGCTGAGTATTTCGAAATTCGTATAAGACGTTATTTATTCCTCCTACAGCTCATAACATTTGTCTCGAAATAAAGTATATTCCTCTTACCCCACGAGATTTTATACAGTAAATCCACGGCATAAATATATTCGTAAATAAACAAGACCTACACTTATTTGGTTTGAGATTAATACTAAATATTCATGAAAATATGATATCAATACAAGTAAAAGTTTCAATAAGCGTATTACGCTTTTACTTGATTGACACAATGAGATATAAACGAACTGAAAATAATAAACAGTGATGGATGGCTAACGTTATTACAAACTTTACCGATCTTTTACACAATCAATCCGCAAAGGCATGAAGCCTTAAAGAAAACAAGCTGCTAGTCATTTTCATTTGTTTTCTCACCACTTAAAATATCTTAAATAAAATCTCGGAGTATTACACGCCTAAACTTTAATAAATGCTGCGAAGTGGGCTTTGTATTAAAAAAGAATTGAAGGCTTCGGAATGCAAAAACTTTCCCTTCAAAGGTTTCTATGTACAAAGAAAAAAAGAAAGGCCTTTAGCTTATGAATTCTTTAACGATATCTTAAAACGATATTGTTACGAAAATACCTAATGTTTTTTGTAGACTACATAGTTCAGAGAGCAAAATTATGGGCAAGGAAGAATTTGAAAGGGGATCCTATCAAATAAATAACAGATGAGAGATCTATTTCTAAATCTTCGAACTTTTGTAAGCCCTTTGTAAAGCTACAAGAAATACGAGAAGGTTTACTGCATCGATTTTCACATGACGGTGCGTCTCGGCTAAATTCGTAAACCTTGTACTTGTATTTAGGGTGCGTAACGTTGTATTTATCGTAGGACGACTGTCGCGTCTAGCTTGTTCCCGTATCACGACAATCAGTCGTGACTGTTTCATGGACGTTTATTTTATCGTTGAACGACTGTCGTGTCTAGCTGTTCCCATTAGATCGTGACGACAATTTATCGGTTCACGACAACCGGCTTGTCGTATGCACGATAGAATCGTTTGAAGCTGCAATTGATTATCTCTTCCCATTGTCACGACAATAAGTCGTGTTAACGTCAAAAAAGTCGTGAACGACATGTAACGGTCGACAATGTCGAGCAAATCTGTACGCACCTTAAGAGTACCTACCCTTCATCGACGAGCATATGTGAAAGCACCAATGCGTGTTGATGAGGCGAAAGATGTTTGTCAGGACCGTAACAAGTGGAAGTCTATTGTCTCTGCCTACTCCGATGGGGAAAACGCGTGAAGTATATGTATGTATGTATCTGTTTGGTCAGTTTTATTATTGAGCGTTCAATGTATCATCATTATATACAGCCTGACTTCACCGTGGAGGAGGCACAAGTTTTTTGTGTCACTCTCCACAATCCTACGCTAGTCTCTTCCAGGTTTGCCCCGCGATGCTTACGATGTCGTCTGCCCGTCTCATTCAATATGTACCTAGCCTTATTATTATTACCTCCATGGCTTTAACTTCGGAGTTCCTGATTTCGAGTAAATCCTTGGTGATGGTGTTGATGTCCTTGAGAGACTGCACTTGCGTCGTTAGAGCCTCAATCTGCAGCTCCTGATTCTTCACCATCTTAGTTTTGTCGAATATCATGCCTCGCGCTTTGCTTAGCAACTGTGAAAAAAGAACTTTTGAAAGAACAGTTCATAGTCTACGTGAATTATTTTATAGTTTTTCAAATTCAATTTCTTTTCCAAATTCCAGTGGTCTGCGTTAGAATAAGATAAGTAATGAGTATACATAGCAGTATACTCATAAAGCACTTCAGAGTCCAGAATAATGGACCCATGTTGGTGGGCCAACAAACAACTGAACAAATGGGAAAAAGAGTCTCGCTAGTTCAGTCAACATAACAAACGAGAAAAAAAATCTCATTCGTTCAGTCAACTGAACGGAAAACTGAACTAGTGGGAATAGAAGGTCATAAGGATGGCAGCATTTCTGTCCTCAAACTTAGACTTTTATAACTTTTGTATCTTCTAGACTATTTCTGTACAATAATTCTAAGAAATTGCTCTGATCTTGCCTATTCTAATAAGGAATTGCCGATTTCTTTCCCTGATTCAGAGAGGTCCGTAAAGTTTATCATAGTTGAGATCACAATTTTACGACAATATCTTTCATATCGCTAAAAATACCCAAAAATGTACAGATAATGTTTCATGTTCACATATTTCTCTGTCGTAGGCATTGAAAAGTAATTTTGTTAAAGACATTTCACTTATTGCGTTATTATTTCCAAACCCATAACACATCGCAACTACGCTATTATAGTTTTTTGAAAATTATATAACAATTAAGGTTCTTTTTCCTTTTAATATTATCATATGTAACTTCCTTTACATTCAACCAATTTAAATATCTTGGGCATAATGTTACCGACGACCTTGAGGGCACTGGCGATCAGAAGTACTAAACTGGCACGCATGTAGTAAGCGAGTAAAAATTACACTTTTCAAAGCCTACTGTCAATCGTTCTACACAAGCAAAAAAATCGCTTAGTGCCCTACGAGTCACATACAATAATGGGTTTAGAATGTTGATGGGGTTGCCCCGCCTTTGCAGTGCGTCTACCATGTTTGCAGAGTAGCGGGTTGATGGTCTCAATGCCATGATAGATATGAGACATGTACCCGATAGATATGACCTGCCCTGTCCTGATTGAATAGTCTCACAAGAGACTATTGGGTCTGGATGCAGCAGGTGAGAGACCTGAAAGTCGACTGCCACTTTTTATTAACCTAGTCTTTAAGTTATATTTGTAAATTTACTAACACTATTGGACCTTAAAAAATGTGTTTTCTGAATAATTTATTCATATTCAAAATTATTTACCTCTTCGTGTTGTTGTTTGATGTTTTCAATCATTTCGTGGTTTTTGCCTCCTGGCTTTGAGAGAGCAGCTTGTAACTCTGTCTCTAGATTTTTCACAGTCGCTTTTAAAAGATCTACTTCTTCTTCACGAACCTAGACAAAAATAAATGTAGGTACGTTTAATATGTCACATTTGTTAATAAGTCACATGTGTTATATGGGAATGATACCTTATTCTATAAATTAATTAATGTACTACATTGTACCAATATCCCACTTACTTTAAGTTGTAACTTAATTGCATCTTCACTTCTTTCATTTTTCACTTGTTCCAATTCTTCTATTTTCTTCAGTAGCTCCTGTTCTCTTTTCTGCCAATCACCCTGCATTATTAGAATACGGTAAAGCTTTGGATCTACATGCTAATAATGGAAAACAATACGAAAAATTATAAACTATTTATTTCCTTTACCATTTCCTTCTTAGCTTTGAACAAAAGTAAAAAAAAAAAAAGCATTTATTTACTAGATAAAAGTAATTACAGTATCCATTGTTGGGGCTACTTGTAAGTAGAAGTTACTTGTGTTAAAAGCCCCGCTCTTCAGGGTTAGAATTTTTTTTTTTATCCGTAAATATTTAACTAAAATAAAACTAAGAAAGATGCGGATAGTTAATGTGTATGTATGGTATGTGTGTGTGTGTGTGTGTGTGTGTGTGTGTGTGTGTGTGTGTGTGTGCGTGCGTGCGTGCGTGCGTGTGTGTGTGTGTGTGTGTGTGTGTGTGTGTGTTTGTGTGTGTGTGTGTGCGTGTGTATGTGTGTGCTTGCGTGCGTAACATCAAAAGTAATGTTGGATGACGAAAATTTTAAAGGTATAAACAACCAGATTATGTAGCGTGGCTTTAGTGTATCATTAGCATGATGAATATTGTATTCTCTCTATATATTTTATAAAGAAGTATCATCAAAATGTTCTACACTTACAGCATCTTTTTGATCTCCATTAGTAACAGCCTCTGTCGGTTCAGACTTCACTGCATCTACTTTGGGAGCTTCTTTTACCTCTTTAAGGTTAGTAGTTCCACTGGCTGCACCACTAGCTTCCGGTGATTCAGTTATAACTTCTTGAGCAGGTTGGAATTCGTTCTGTAGATAAAGTTGTTTTATCTTAACACCCAAGTTATCATTAGCATGTTTAATATTGAGCTTATTCTTATTCATCCAAAAGCTATATCTATCTTAGACATTTTTTGCAGATCAGATAAATAACTCACAGATTTTACTGAAAAGTTCGACGTTTCAGAAGGAGTAATAGAAAGCGCTGGGGCTGTGCCCTCGCCACCGCCCGACTGTATGGCTGGGTCTGACTGCAACCAAACAATGTATATGACACGAGTATCCTTAACTAGGCACCTGGTACTTAAGGCAAAATGGTATCGTGATTGCGCAGGCTTTGAAGTGTGTGAGGTAAAGGCGGAACAGTCATTGCAAGATATTTAAACATTCACGTTTTAAAAATAAAATAATTATACTCTTCCACTAAAAAAACGTAACAAAAGTATACTTTTTTAATTTATGTAAGTTAATAAGTGCGCATTTGACCTCCACCTCACTGATGGAAAGCGACAATGAAGTCAATGATGTAGCATGCACACTTAAAAAATGCCTAGTCACTCGCCTTGAAAAGGCCCAAGGTACTGCGCTCGGGGAACAAGTCTGCAGGCTGGGAATTCCACTCCTTTGCGTTCGTCATATACCTATGTGGAAGCAAAACGTTCCGTGCGAATCTTTAGATTATCCACAACATAGGCGTGAAACCCCAGCCTACGTATTGTCCCACGATGATGGAATGAGTAAGGCGGAATCAAATCATGTAACTCCATCGCACACCCTCCGTGATATACCCTGTTGAATACGGATAAGGAGGCAACTTTACAGCGGTGTTCAAGGCTCTGCCAGCTTTGCCTCTACTGAATCCGAGTCACCTATAAGCACGCTTTTCTAGTCAATCCAGTGTGGCCAATTGGTATTTAGCAGAACCATCCCATAGGTGGCAGCAGTGCTCCATACATGACCGGACTTGTGCTTGGTACAGGATTTTACTTTACATAATTATTCAATAATTAATAACACAACTATATAATTCCAGTATTTAGATGCCTATCCGCAATTAATTATTAAATAATGCGTGATATTAATATATTATAAAGTGTCAAAAATAGTTCAATTTAGGTATGAATAGCGTGACTGTACGTCCCGATTTTAGACTTCGTGTCCCGCTGCCCCCAAAATACTTAGTGTCCCGCTTTCACAAAACAGAACACACGTAGCGATAAACTTCAAAAAACGTCGCGACAGCGAGCACCAAACTACACAAGATTTAGTTCTTTTTTAAATTTTTTATTCATTAACAAATAGTTTTAGTTCTTTTTATTTATTTCTTTATCTTTAAACATTCCGTTATTATCTTAAACATGTCTTTTATTCTTAAAACAATAATAAATTTACAAGCGTCCCGATCTAGAGCCGCTCTCTCTCTGTTCGTAATTTTTTTCTGTCATGTATTGTTCTAGAGTTATAAATTATCTATGTTAACAATGATAAGTTTTCTCTTAGGTTTTCTATTTATTTCAACATAAAGATTAACTATCTACGTACATGACATTATTCAAAATTCATTTATCAGATATTTCGACATAAAGTCAGAAAACAGAGGAACAAATAAACTCAAATACGAGCAATTGTAATTCATTTGCCTATGTAATTTGTTATCTTCCATCACGTGTCGCCAAATGAACGCGTGCCTAAACTTAATTAGATGTGTATTTAGGCTTAAACCCGACGAACTTTGAGGAAGCAAACTTTTGCTTTGAGCAAATGATGGTTTTACAATTTATAATAAAACACGCGCACTAAAATTACGCGTGCCGTACAAATAATGATTGTGCATAGAGATGCAATGTAACAACCATATACGAGAGCGGTTTGATAAGTCCGTGACTCTGAGAAGAAATAAAAAATTTTAACCGACTTCGAAAAAAGGAGGTTCTCAATTCGACCGTATTTTTTATGTAGTGTGACCGTATTTGAGAACCGATTTCGATGATTCTTGTTTTGTTGGAAGAGGCACCTCAATATTGGTCCCATTTAAATTTGAAGAAAATATTCCACCTCTAAGGGTGGCAAAGTGGGGGATGAATCCAGTTTCACGCACTTTCCGGTAACCGATTTCAATAAAAGTTGGCAAATAGGTGTAAATTTCACGAACTTTTGAGGTCGGCTTTTGTTTTGTAGAAAAGTTTTTTTTTATTATGGTTTATTTTTCTACGTAATCTCCTTTTAACTCTATACATCCAACTTCTTCAACCCATCAAACATTTTATTTGTCGATCAGAATAATAAATTACTGTTTCAGTTCCACTTCTTTATCTGTTAAAAAAACACACACTATCACGATGTTTTATCTGTTAAAAATAACAGATAAAAAATCAAATGTGGCCAAAACTAGTGATCTTAAGGGGGTACAGCAATAGTTCGTATCGTAAGTCGACTAATGGACAGTGAACTGGCAATCGGTACTATCTCAATTTTGACAACTTTACAGGATGAAGAAAAACATTGCTTGCGTCATTTATGTAGCACCTGATTTATTAAATAAAAATACGTAGTTTTTAAATATTTTTATTACACATACACTACGTATTCTTATTTAATAAACCAGATGCTATATAAATACCGCAAACAATTTTTTTCTTCACCGTGTAAAGTTGACAAAACGGAGATAGTAGGTACCTACCGGTTGCCAGTTCACAGACGAAATTTTGATATTCTGATTGCAGATGAGAAACGGAATACCCGAAATTTCGTTCTCTTCATCTTCAAAAAATAAAGCGATTTTCTTTATTTTTTTCCATCCTAGGAATCCATAAGAATCTCACCTAACATCATAAATCTAACCTTTTTAATATCCAATTATTTTTTATTTTCGCGGTAATTTTAAAAAAGTGACGTTGCTAGCGTTTGCTTTGGAGTTCTAAATTAAGAAATAAAAATAAATTCCGGAAAAAGTTTTTATAACCTAATATGGCTAATCACGCATATAACAAAATATGCGAAGTGAAACGAGACGTAGTTGATGCAAGGACACAGCGATACTGTAAAAATGCCTAAATACTTTATGCTACTTCAAAGAGCACATCAAACTTCGTGCTTTGGACTGTTCTTATTGCAAAGCCGTTACTTAGTTGAATAAAAACTTAGTGCCTTAAACCCGTATACAATAATCATTTCTGGCGTCATGTTTCTGTTACGGACAATGTTTGCTATTTTAAACGATCAGGCACTACTTTTTTTTACTTTGAAGACTAATTATTAAACAATACGGAATATTGTCATATATCAGTTTGTTTTGTAGACACGTTTAGGTACCAAATATATTTGTTACCTTCATACCGAACTGTTAGAAAATCATTTCGCCGTATCATCATTTTTATCTCAAAATAAATATCTACTAAATAACTTTACCACAGTAAGTAGGTACTCAAAACAGTCCACGCAGATCCTATAAGAGGGTAGGTTAAGATAACAGACCCCAAAAAACAGAATTTATTCTACCATACTCTTAATGATAATGTCCTCACTCGAAAATCATAGCTGCGCACTCTAGTCCAAATGGACTTCATAGTCATATACTCTGTATTGTCTAAGCTCTCCAGAATAGCTATATTCTTGTAATTAAAATCCCCCATTTAAAGTAATTTCTAGCACATGGCACAACAATTTTTAGCATGACTTGACATAAAAACATAGGAAGCGTCAAATTCGACAAAAAAAAATTTTATAATTACGGTTCTGCATAAGGAGATTATATTTCGCATATATACGAAATATAAGAAATAGATCAACAAAACATCTTACCATATTAGTACTAGATCGTTTTTTTTAGATAAATTAGCACAGCACTGGCAAAGTACAAGTAGACTACTGAGTCGCAGTAAAACTTGGACAATTTCTATTTCTGGAGAGCAGACGCGGATGTAAAAATAGAAGTGAATCGACAAACTCTCAACTTCCCGCGGGCTTTTAAGCACTGGTAATATTTATGAACGCAAGTTCATTAACGGAATTTTAAAAGTTTCACTCCACATTGCATGAAACAAATTTATGTCGCTAACATTTTTGTTAGCATTTTTATGCGGGCCTAAAAATTATGTTGGTTTAACGCCAAAATTAAGACTTGTTAAAGAATTTAGTCTTACAATAAATGAACTTTGATATTGAATTTCGTATATATTTTTTTTAATTGTAGTCCTTTTTTTTTAGTGCAAGTACTGTTTCATATTTACTTCAACTATAATTAAAACTGGATTTACCTATATTAAGTACATCAAATAGGAATTAAAATGTGCAATAATAAATAAACGTCTAAATTATTTCATAAAATTTTCTAATTAATATCACTTCAAAAGTTTTAAGCAGGTGAAGCCGATATCTAAAAAAATTATGTCGACTACACTTTCATCTCGTCGATTCATAATTTGAATCGATTTTCGTTCGTATTTCTAAACGAATAAAAGTTCTTATAGGTGGCCTACTAAAGATTTATAAAGAAGAAGACATCCCCCGCCTCTTGCCATCTTTACTACAGAATACGAAGATTTATGAACATATATATGCATACATTATTTCCACCATTGAAGAGAAATAGATAATTTCATATACTTAGAAGAATACTTTGAAAGAAAAAGTTTTATTTAAAAAATAGGAAAAAAATTGAAGATTTGGCTTGATGGATTTATTCCGATGCCGTGAAACTAATATTAAAAAAAAAGAATAAAAACACTATCTATGTGGCTAAAACATTCACCGCGAAAACCCAACAGAAATAAGAAAAAAAAGGAATAAATGACGGGCTTTTGAAGTTAGAAGTACCTACAGCTTTTAAAAAAAAAAAATAAAGAAAGAAATATTGATGAAGTAAGTTAGAACTATATTCCTTATTTTAAACCAAATTACAAAAGACGTTATCCTAAAAATTCCAATAATTACGAATTCAAAGTTTTTGTTCAAAGTTATAGAAGATAATATGATTTAAGTGAAAGTGAAAACATAAATATTGACTCCCGCCGTTTGAGACTACTTAAAAAACCCAAATAAGTGAACCAAGCTTAAGAGAAAGTGAAAACATAATGCATTAGAACCACAATGGAAAATATTGCTAAGGATCCCGATAACTAAACAAGACATGGCTCAAAATACTTGTACCCAAGCCAAAACTCTTCATAAAAAAAAACCGGTGTACTACGTACTTTGGTCCTCTTTGGCTTTTTTTTTCTATCCTCTATCTCTCTCTCTCTTTGGCCCTAATTTAGACTGTTATGGTTTTGACACTAACAATTTGACGTTCTTGCTTCTAGCAGTTTATTTTGGTGAGTAACCGGTTTTGAATTGTCGTTTTACTCTAAATTTCCAAGTACTAAAAAAGAAAGAAAAAGTAAAAGAAATTCCCCGTTTTGTAAACTGTACGTTTCTGTATAAATTTCTACAAAAACTAAGTAATGCACAGCATTACAAGTGTTTCAGTTATGACTAAAAATATATTTTGTTTTTAATTTGCAGCACAAACATGACTTCAGAAAAGAATGCACAGCTCGGACAAGCGCGGGAAACGTTCCAGATGCTCTATCAAATATCCCAACTGCTCTGCACAGGACTGGACGCCGAAACTTTGACCACTTGCATTAGATTGTGTGAACTGGGTGTGGATCCCGAAATTTTGGCTCACGTTATCAAAGAGATAAGGAAGATGGGGGAGAATCCAATGCAGAATAAACCTGGAACTATGCACCCGTGAAATTCTAGTGTTGTGAATTATTCCAACAAGTTATACTTATTCCTAATTGTTATCACCAAAAACTGTGTCTAAGATATAAAGTGTTTGTTCATTCCTCTAATTTGCACATTGTTCATCAAATATATGTTATTAGAGAGGGTATGCAAGTGTTATTAAATATTAATAATGATGTATCTCATTGGTACCTTTGTTACTAACTTCATAAGTAAATGCTTATCACATTGGATATTAAGGTAAAATAAACCATAAATATAAAATAAATCAATTTTATTATAACTTCTTGATACAGAATAAACATGCAAAGAATATTAGGCAAACAGGTACTAAGCTGACAACATAATACTTGACATCAACCAAATAGAAGACTGAAAAAAATAATTCTCCTTTATATTGGTTAACAAT